TCTTGGCTGTGCTCAACATAGTTAAAGAGAAAAATGTTTTCTGTAACTGAAGGTGTTACCAAAATCTGTATTTCCTAAGGTCTCTGAAAGAACCACATGCCTGGCTTCTACGTAATTTCGGTTCTTTGAACAAACAGAAGTCTGCTTCAGTTCCTTTGGAAGTTCACATCCCAGAAAGGAACCATGACTGCCACATCAGCCAGAAGTTCTGCAGAGCTACAGATCCCCTCCACAGTCAATTCTGGGTTGGGCTGAGGGAGCAAGACAACCCCAATCAGTGCATGGCTCTCGTTACAAGAGAGATTTGCTCTCTTGGCAAATGCATGAGGATCCTGCTAGCAGAGCAGACTGCTCAACTCACTCATTTACTGGCACCTTTGTTGCTTGACGGACAGTTTTCTAATAGGCAACAAGCAGGCACAAATGCAAATTACATGCTGACATCCTCCCTTCCCTCCCCATTCCAGAATTAAAGGTGAGGAATTCTTTGACCCAACTCATCTGTATTTACAACCTTGTGTTCTATTCCATTAAGAGGAGGAATCAATGATGAAATTAAATGTTTCTTGATGTAAACCCATGCCTTCAGGATGAGCATGCGCTGTTTTCCCAAATGCAGTAGGAGTCAACTAAGGTGAACAACTTATTTGGACATACTTGGAGATTGGAAGGAACCTCAAAGGCCAACTAGTTCCAGCCCCCCTAGAGTAGGTAGGGACTTCTTCCACAGGACCAGGTTGCCCAGAGCCCCATCTAGCCTGTGCCAGTGCCTCACCACATCTTTCTCCTTCCTGAAGCAGAGGGAGAGAAGAGCAATGCAAGCTGGTAGTGTGCAAGAGACAGAGCATAGGAACAGCAGCTGGCAAGAGCAGCATCTTTCACCCACAGAGCTGCAATGGCATACAGTGCTCTGCAAAGGATGCTGAGTTGAGTTCACATGCATAAAGATCCATCAGCTGAGTCTGCAGCTGCCAGCAAACCCCAAGTCTAATATGGAGAGTAAAAATGCAAACCAGAGAGGAAGGGGAAGAAGAGAAAAAATAAAAATAGGGAAAAGTGAAATCTACTCATTGGCCATTGGGAAGAGAAGTGATAGGGGACCCAAGCAACAGATATCTGAAACAGATATTAGATCTGAGAGTACTTCCTCACAAATCATTCTATGAGTTGTTTAAAAATTAAAGCTAAGTTCAAAGGAATTTTGCCTGACACAAATGTAACTAAAAACACCAGCTCTTCAATGGTAAAAGGATTAGACCCCAACCCCACGAGCTCATCAAAGAAGGCCGGGGTCCTGCCCCAAAGTGCTCACAATCCATTTAGAAGCAGGTGGGTGCCAACAGATGGAGGAGCACTGGGAAACAAAGAGAATATAGTGCTTGGCATGCAAGGCAATGTTCTCAGCTCACTCACAGTCAGACTGTTTCCAAATTTTTGTGGGCGTTGCAGCAAAGCACGGTGTTAAGGAGGGATCTGAAGGTAGTTAATGAATTTTAAGATGATGAGCCAGGCAAGAAACAGGAACAATGTTAGTCATAATGTTGCATTACACAGTACTATCTTTGTGGAGCACAAAATGAGGGAGCTGTATTGGAATATGTTGCTGGTGGAAGTAGAAAATGCTGTAAATAGAAGAGGAATGGAATACCATGTGGATAAACTGAGGCATAGATCACCAACTGTAAACAGTTCAGCCCTAAAAGTCATCGAAGGTTATGGATAGACAGTAGCAAGAGAGTTGCTGAGGCTTATGGAGTTACCAGTGAAACAGCATAAACTACTCCTTTATTTCATTCTGTGAATTGACTCGTTCACTTCCCACAGCTCCATTGCCAAGTGGTTACTTCTGTATTTGCAGCCTGCCTACCCACATTGCTTTGATGACATCAAAGGACAGGATAATAGACAAAAATTTACCGGCAAAAATCCTCCACATAATAGCAGAAAATCACGTTAATTTCTGCTATGGGTAAAGGAGAACCACTGCTCTGGAAGAAAATTGTACATTAGAAATTACTGCAGACTGTACCTGATAGAAATTGCATAATAAGAAGGAAAAATAAAAAGGAGAAGAATTGTCTCAGAAGACTTCTAAGAGACCTTACCAGGATGCCAGTGTGGAAACGGGAAAAGTGATCCTGGAACTGGAACTCTTTTTTTTTTTTTTTTTAAGTATTTCCAAGTAAAGATAGGTAAGCATTGCTGTCACTGGCAGTAGCACAGACATAGCAGAAATGCACAAGCCCTCTGGCATGTGTTTCTGGGCTGGATTTCTCTCTGCTGTCTTAGACCTGTATAGCACAGCTGAACTAGCTGCTTTAAACAGCCACCGCAGTATACATATTTTACATATTGATGTTGTGAACAAAAAGAAGTGATGATGGATAATACAGTGAAATGATGCAGCATACTCAGATGTAGACATCAGCAGTGTAAATGCAGTCACATGGATTGCTCTCCATTGATTATAACAGGGGAGTTCAAAGTAAACTTGGTATGAAGAAGAGCAGCATATTACCCGAAGAAATTATCTTGTTCAACCTTGCAAATGGAAGACTGGGAGGCATTTGATTACTTCCTATAAATGTAAAGGGAACAAACACCAGAGAAAGTGGAATGCTGCTTAGGCCAAAGGCTAATACAGCACTAGTAAACAATACAGCCATGAGGAGATTTAGTGTAGAAAAAAGGCGGCTTTCGATGAAGCATGTGTTTCCGAAGCTTTACAGGAAAGAAAGCAGATAAAATAGTTTTAACACGTAATTTGGCTTTTCTTCTGTACCCCAAGACCTTATGGTATAACGTGGAAAGCTCATGTACTATAACAAAGCAGGTGCATAAATCTGTAGTAGATACCTGATTCATTATTAGCTGTGTTAAATCACAGACACTGGGGACCATATGACAAAAGCAGATTCTTTGGAACACTGCTACTCCCATTGCAGTGCCTAGCAGTAAAGAGCTGACAGGTTTATGGCAGTGTAAAAGCATTCAGAAAAATTACTCTTAGATTCATAATAATACAAGGGATAGTAACAAAATGACTCATCCCCATTCTTCTTTATATTACACTGAACTTCTACAGCACAGTGTTCAATTCAAATAGTCCTGGTAGGGTTACATGCACACTGTACTTAGCTGCCTTCCTACAGAGTTTTCCTCAGGGCAGAAGAGCTCTCCATCCACCGTGTAGGAAGTCAGGAAAGACAGGCAAGAGACTGGCATGGCTGAACTGGGACCTGCTGGTCAAACTGGAGAGTAAGAAGAAAATGCACAGGCAGTGGAAACAGGGATTGGTAACCTGGGAGGAGTATAGGGCTGTGTAAAGGTGGAGTCAGGAAGGTCAAGGCCCAACTGGAACTGAACTTGGCAAGAGGGCAAAGAAAGGCTTCCAGGGGTATGACAACCAGGAAAGGAAAGTCGAGAGTGCACCCTCCCTAGTGAGCAACAGCCAGACTAGTAACAGCGAGCAAGGAAAAGGGTGATACATTAAACATATATTTTTTGCCTAAGCTTTCACTAGTGTGACTGCTCTACATACAGCCCTGGAGAGGATGGTTTGGAAGTTGAGAGTAGGGGGAGCAATGTGCCTAACTACTGTAAGCAAATATCAGGTTTGCAACTGCCTGAGGAACCTGAACATCCATAAGTCTATGGATTACAATGAGATGCATCCTAGAGTCCTGAAGGAATTGGCTGATGTAGTCACCAAGCCACTCTTGATGATATTTGAAAAGTTACTGTGATCAAGTTAAGATCCTAATGACTGAACAAAAGGCAATATAGAACCTATTTTTAAGGCAGATATAAGGGATGACCCCATGGAACTACCAAACTTTCAGCCTCAGCCTCACCTCCCTGCCAGGGAAGATCATGGAGCAGATCTTCCTGGAAGCTGTGCATACGGAAGAGGGAGGTATTCATGGACGGCCCCATCTGACCAACCTTGCTGCTTTTCATGATGGTGTAACTCCATCAGTGGACAAGGGAAGAACCACTGATGTCATTTATCTGGACTTCAGTGGCCTTTGACACAGTCTCCCATCACATCCTTCTCTCCAAATTGGAAAGATATGGATTTGATGAGTGGACGGTTTGATAGATGAGGAACTGGTTGCAAAATCATACCCAGACTTTGGTGACTCAATGTCTAAGCAGAGATCAGTGATGAGTGGTGTCCCTCAGGGGTCAGTACTAGTACTAAAGCAGTACTATGCTTTAACATCTTCATCAATAACACTGACAGTGGGATTGAGTGCGAGTCTGCAGATGACACAGCATCTACTTTTTCTGTTTTCTGTGTGGTGCAGTTGACATGAGGGACAGGATGTTATCCAGAAGGACCTAGACAGGCTTGAGCAGTGGGCCCAGGTGAACCTTGTGAGGATCAACAGAGCCCAAGGACTTGCACCTGTATTGTAGCCAATCCCACTATCAGTACAAGCTGGGGATGTAAGGACGGAGCACAGCTCTGCTGAAAAGAACCTGAGTCTACTGGTAGATGGCAAGCTGGACATGAGCCAGCAATGTGCCCCTGCAGCCCAGAACACCAACTGTTTGCTGGGCTGCACCTAAAGAAGCGTGGCAAGCAAGTTGAGGGAGATGATCCTGTCCCTCTACTCTGTGCTGGTGAAACTCCACCTGGAGTGCTGTGCTCAGATGTGGAGTCCTCAGTATGGGAGATATGTGGATCTGTTGGAGTGTGTCCAGAGGAGGGGCACTGCTGTCCTTGCACTGTAATTTTTACCTTAGCTCCCAGCTAGTGGATCTCAGTGTCTCAGCTTCAATTCCCCTCACTCAGTGTAGGTCTTCAAAGAGGCAGAGCAACACTGAGGTTCATGGATTGGCCCACTAACACAGAAAAGTCAATTAATGAGAAGGACTGAATTTAAGGGCCTGCAGGAAGAGATACACAATGTGACACAAAGCACACTACAGCATCTTTTGGGCTTCCAATACCTGAGCCATTGGGCTTCCAATACCTGAGTGGCTGTCATTAGACAGCCACTGCCCTACAGAATGTCCCGTTCTGTACAATGACTGAGTAAATAAATTCACTGACTGTTTTTCTGTAATTTACATGTACAGTAATAGAAAAATATTTACTCATTTTACAACTGAAGATCCAAAGAAAACCAAAATGAAAAGCAAACAAACAAACCAGAAAACCCAAAATCAATAAGATAAGCAAAAGGCAGAGAGAAGACCTGGGATCTTGCAGCTCTGAAGTCCTTAATGGGAATTAGCACGTTTAAAAAAGGTGCTGCAATGCTCACAGCACTGCAACTCTGATATTTGGTTCTACCGTAATCATTCATACAACTTTCCAGAAAGTAGGGATTGGACAGCAACAGAGAGCTGAACTAGCAGATAGGAGCAAGGTGAGGAAAGAGGATAGAAGCTTGCCCACCTCTGCTGTGCAAGTGATATTACAGCACAAGCATTTCCCTGTTGTGTTTTCTGCTTTAAATCCAGGCCTTAAAACCCACGGTGGAATAACGGCTGTCTTTTTTAAAAAAGATCTTTATGGCTTGCTGCTTCTAAGATACCAGAGATGCTGGGCTGTTCTCATTGGACTAGGAACTACATGGGTGGAAAGATTTATCTACATCAATTATTTTGGGAAGGTTCTTATCTGGCAGGCAATGAACAGACTTCCAGTGGAGGTCCTGGAGGTCCCAGTTAACCCACGAAGAAGAGATGCAATGCACAGTCTTGCAACAGTCCCACTACTCAGAGCATATGCAAACACTTCAGGAAGGTAGTGCAATGGGAGCACGTTCAGTGCCATGCTGACAGTTGTGAAGAAGGTGAGTATATTCATATGCTGGAATGCCATTCTTCAACTCCTGTCTCACTGCTGATGTGGATAGGAAAACTTAAGCAGCACTCACAAGACAATTCATTACTCAAGGGCACATCTAGAAACAAGGCATTAGGCTCTTTCCTGTGAAGAGCCTGGAATGTCCACTTAGAAAAGATGGTGAAAAGAAGAGGGAGCTTGTTAAGGAATAAGGCACGATCCCTCATCCTCTCCTTCACAAAGTTCACTAGACTCCATCTACCTCAACACACCCACCACATATTGGCTCGTGTGCCAGGCTGAACAGTGGGTGTTTGTCACTGTGAGAAACAATACGAGAATATTTATTACAATCTGTGGTAAGAACTCTTCACACTGTGTCCTTTGTTCCCACTGTGGCTGATGTGATAGAAAGCTTGACTGTCAGATTCCATGGTCTAGCAGACTTCCCTCGCTCCATCTGTAGAGGATCTCAGATTATGAGTGGCTCCACCACACAGAGTTCCAGATCTCTTATGCAGTTTGATATGCAGTTTGATACGCAGCAAACAGCTATACTGACATGCTGGGTGGTTACTTATCCAACACATGTATACACACAGCCTAGAGCTTTTGGAATTTGAACCATTTGTAAGAAACTGAACAGTTCATTCCTATCAGTTCTATATTGCTGCTGAGAACTTTTCTCATCAGTACATCTGTGCATATGGGCAGATGCATGTGCAGCTACTGAGCAGGGCTCTTTTCCCTCCTCCTCTACATCCCACGCTGACATCCTATTACACATATGTCAAGTTTTCGAAGTGAATCACACAAATGAGAAATCTTAAGAAATAGCCTTCTGGCACGTAATTCCAGAAGTACTTAGGTGTATTAGCTGAGGTTTAGAAGGCCGTGAGATCTGCTGTGGTGCCTGCAAATGGAGGCTTGTGAAGAACTATCATATTTTACGTATGAGAAAGACCCTAATATACAATAAGCCCTGCACTTAGTCCATACCCTACCATCTGTAATTTGCTTTTTTGTAGCTAGGGGCACTTCTAATTTATCTCAGAGCAGCACTGCAATATGAAAAAAATATCTGCAGAAAGGATGTTTGGGGTACTAGGACTCCTGAATGGAAAAGGCTTTGTTTTAAGATAACATGGATACATTCAAATCATGACCATAATTTTAGTTCTGCTTCTAAAGCACTGATTTACAAGAGAAGAATAACAGAACAATACAACTCCAGTCAACCGTTACACTGGTACATCTCTGTTCTTTTCAAATACTATTTCAGATACTCAAAATGTGTGGGTTATTGTATTCCATATGGTTTTATAAATTGAGTCATAAACCCTAAAAAAAAGTTTGTAAGGGTTTTTGTTGTTGTTTTGTTTTTCTTCAAACTCAAACTTCAAAGTACCTGACCTACCTGCTAAAACCTGAAGAATACCCTTGTGCAAGGCATGTGCTATCACAGTAACAGTGAATTTTGAGCTATTCTAAAATGCAGAACTTTATAAAAAATTTCCATTACTGTGTAAAGAAATGCATCAGAACGTCAAGAAGTTCAAAATCATACATGCCCATCCTACTAGTTTTATGATTTTCTTGCCCTCTTTTTCAAATGTTTTAATTTAAAAATAGTTTAAAAAGACATTTTGTTACTTACAGACATTAACTACATTATATAATTCATATGCAGCCCAAGATAATTCTTCTTTACTCATTGTGGCCCAGGCAAGCCAAAAGCTTGGACACACATAGACCCATGTATCTAAACTATTTGTCTAAAGTTTTCCTTAGTGGCCTGATGTTCTTCACATTTGGCAGTAATGGATATCTAGATCTGTAGCACTCACATATAGTTTCTAATTTGGAAAATGTAAACACTTTGATCCATTCTGGTAGATATAAAAGCCTGGATGCAGTATATTTCCATGCTGCATGTTTCCAGTGCAACAGGCTAATGAATTAACCTATGTAAAATAAAAAGGGGCTGAAAAAAATTGTCCTGTAAAACTTAAAACCGCAATTCAGTAAGATAAAGATTACTGTAGTCTTCCAAGAACGATAGAAAATGCTTCAAAGTGATAGGTTAAATTACATGGATTTAGTGGAAACTTTCTGAGTTAAATTTATGTTCTCATGCAGTTTCTGACATATTCCCTTGTTTTGTTTCCTTGTAATCGCCCTCACATTGCCAGTTACATACAGTGATCCATGATATCTGTATTCCTACTTAAATGCTCTAATCCCTTAATAAGACTTCTATTATTTCTGGAATGGCATTGTGCCAGCACAGCTGTGGCTACTTAGCAGGATCAGTAATCTATTTCTAGGCATAATCCAGAGTACAGGTACATTTCTTCTGTTGTGAATTCTCTAGATGAACACTAGAAGATTCTTTCATCAGCATCAGTAGAGTGTAAAACAATCTATGCAGGAGGTAAAGCATGAAAAATTCATTAATCAAAGGAGTAGCATTTCTATAATGCTTATTTTTTCATTATGCAGTCTTTTTTCTGATTAAGTGTTGTGGTTGGCTGTCTGTCTGTAGGCCAAACAGAAATGATTAAAACAGAATTTAAATTACCTAGAGGTGGAAAGCCAAACCCAAGAGAGGAACAGTAGTGAACACTTGCATTTAAACGTGACACAATGGACTTAGGACTGATTGCTCTCTTCAGAGATTGTATCTCCCATGACACAATGCTAAGGATCACTAGGACCAGACAGTATTCATCTAACAGCTCTAAACTAACTGAGGGATGAAATAACACAACTGCTAGCTGCAGTGTGTTACCTCTGGGAATTGTGTCAGTATCAGAGGCCTGCATGGTGGTAAAATGGATCATTTTAACAAAGGGATCCAGAAGTGACCCGAGGAACTACAGGCACAGCACTGCCAACGGGACCGGAGAAGGGTTTTTCCCTTTGTGGTCCTATATGGAACCAGAGTTGGACATGATGATCTTTGTGGGTACCTTCCAACTCATGATTCCTTGGTTCTATAAGACCACCACACCTGCTGTCTTTGTTCAGCAAATCAGTAGTAACCACTGCAAGAAAAAGAAGGAGCAGACACATGAGAAGATACTTTGTGCAACGGTTCATAAAACTTCTGCAAAGGGAAAATACATTTCACAAGCCCTCTGCCTTTATAATAAGTGGTTAAGCTGTGTACTAAGCTGGATTTGTTTAAATTGAAAACAAAACAAAACAAAACAATTTGTAAAAGGAGTTCACGTGGGCTAAGAAGATCCTCATTTGTATGAATAAGCAATTAAAAGACACAAAAACAAAGCAGGAATGCAAGAGTCCCACTGGAAGGAAATCACCAATGCAATCCTATGGGATTTCATGCCAAGATGTGTGCTGCTCAGCAAAGTTCTGAATGACCTTAAAAAGGTGATGAATAATGGGAGAACAAAGACTGCTGATTCCACTATGTTTATTACAGTGACTACAACTGAAAGCTGACTGTGCAGAGCTGCAGAAGCACAGCTTGATCATGAACAACTTGTGGCAAAATGGCAGACAAGATTCTACGTAAGGTATAGCAAAGCTGTACACACAGCTATGTAGGGTAATTAAGAATATTAGGAAATGAAATAGCATTTCTATGAAAATGCCAGTTCAGTAAGGGGTCAAGAAAGCAACCAAATCATTTGACTGCAAGACAAATAAAAAAACAGCTCAAACCTGTATGGTGAATCTATGTTTTTAATAACATGCACCCACCACTAAATCAGGCTGCCCAGGACTCCATCCAACACCTCCAGAACTTCCCTGGGCAATGTGAGCCAGTGCTGCACCATCCTCTAAGAGCTGCTCTGAGATATCCCCTCTTCTAGTTTAAAGACATTCCCCCTTGTCCTATCACTATAAGACAATGTAAAAAGTCAGTCTCTTTCCTGCTTATAAGCTCTCCTCAGGTACTGGAAAGCCACAATAAGATCTCCCCAGAGTTTTCCGTTCTCCAAGCTAAACAAGACCAGTTCCCTCAGCTTTTCTTCAAAGGAGAAGTGCTCCAGCCCCTCTGATCATCATTGTGGTCCTCCAACAGCTCCGCATATTTCTTGTATGACATCCTTGAATTCTTCCCAAGCCACCCATTCTTGCTTCCATTGCCTGTACTTTTACTTCTTTTTCCTCAATTTAACCAGCAGTCCTTGCTTAGCCATGCTAGTTTCCTGCCTCCTCTCTGATTTCTTATGCTGGGGGAGGGAAGAGGTCTTACACAGTCAGAAAGGTGTCCTAAAGATCTGCCAGCTCTGTTCCATTCTGATGTCCCTAAGGACAATCTCCCTCGGGGAGATCATCCAGTAATTCCTTATACAACTGGAATTTCACTCTCCTGAACTTCAGGGTCTTGACTCTGCTCCTTGCCAGGCCCTTCTTCACAATCATGAACTCAATCAGAGTGTGGTCACTGCAACCCAGGCTGCCTCCATCTTAACCACTTTAACAATCTCCTCCACACTGATGAGCAGCAGGTCCAGTAACACTTCACCTCTGCTTGGTCTGCCCAGTACCAGAAGCAGGAAGTTATCCTCAACTTCAAAGGACAAAAGTCCTTTGCTACAAGAGACTGCTTTTTACACTGGCCTATAGAAAGTGTTCAATTTACACTGTTTTTCAGAATCCTCTCGTGCTTGATCTCCTACAGTTTGAAGCATGGTTCTTGGATCCTAGTGTCCTATTTTTTTGGTGAGCATTAAAAGCTCAGTGGAAGCTTACTTACTCACAGTGTAATACTTGGGAAAAAAAAAAAGTATCACAATAAAAAAGCAAAGCAAACAAGAGAGGATGCTTTAATTTCAGATAGACAGCTGTAAAATTGCTTAGTATAAATAGTTAGAATTTTTTGTTTGTATTTCTTTTTGGCAATACAGAGTTGAATGGCTATGGGATGATACAGCCATCTGTCTTGTGGGTGCCTGGAGGAAACTTCTATACCAAAGCAGCACTGACAGTTATACAGTAATATCCTGCTGCACAATGCTACTAACTGAGAGTTGGAATGCAGTTATTTCCACCGTGTGAGGGCTCTGCACAGAACAAAATGCTCAGCTGCAATGACTCCTGCTCACTCACAAGTACACACTGCCAGACTGGGAATGAAAGTTAATGCTCCTGCAGGGCATAATGGATGGCAGTGCAAACACACAAGATTCCATGCACTGAGATAACATCCAGGTCCACAGATTCAGATTTAATACTAGAGAAGAGAAGGAACAGAAACTGTGTGAAGAATGCCTTTATTGGGTAGGTTTTCAGATGACTTATCCTGTATATTCACAAACAATAACAGCAACAAATTGAGGGACTCGGGAAAAAAGAAGGTAACAAGGATTTCTTGGCTTCATACAGAAAAATTCCTATTCAAATGCCTGCAGTACAAAGCATCACTAAATTGTGAATAATTAAATCCTATGATTTGGATGGACAACTGGCTCTGCATTAAGGTTGATGAAGGACCCTGAGTTGTTATTCAAAAGACTATCCTCTTAGAGATACTTGCTCAATACCATCTCAACTTTGTGACTTTCACTTTCCAAGTTTCTCATCACTCTCATCTGAAAGTATAAGTCTTAAGTAGTTCACGAGAATGTTGCTAAATAGAACTAAACAGCTCTAGGAATCATTACCTGCAGGGGAAATACCAGACTCACACATGCATAGTTCCATTTCTGCTTCTGTCCCATTCATCTCACCTTGGTAAGTCATTGTTTCCAGCTGCTTCCCAGGACCTGGCCATGCTCAGGCTTCCATCATACATCAGATGCCAAGTATTTTGAGACTGCTTTTCACTCTGCAGAAGAGGGCTGAGCTACCTTACACATCCAGTGGAGGAGAAGCCTTGGAAATTACTGAGAAAGTGGACTGAACACCTAGAAACACAATAGTCAGCTTAGCATTTGTGTCCCAGGTGCCCTTGAAATATTCTGGCTTGGCATTTAACTCTGATGGGTTTTTGCTCATGCATGAGGGAACTGGATTGAAAGAATGCACGTTTCCAGGAGTAAAAGGACCTTTTGGAATCCTAAAACCTAACTCTGTTAGCATAGTCAGAATTTGGGAGCAGAAGGCTGCATGCTACCTGTTTGTATTTGAGGGGTTTCTACAGGTCAGGTTCTAGTTGGGGCAATTAGATTTTGCTCAGATAAAGCTGTAGAAGTGCATTCAGCTGCTTGATTCACATAAATAAAAGAAACCAATGTACTGCTCTGAATGTCTCTTTTCTTTGGCTACTTCTTGTTGTTTTTCTTTTTTTCCAGTTTCTATTACAAAACATTTCAGTTCTCTTTTCTGCGTTCTAACTGCAGGCACCTGCAGCTGGTGTAGGAGTGGTACTTCTAGTTACAAGTTGTTTTAAAATCCTTTTCTTTTCACACTTAGTTCCTACGCTAATTGGATGTACTGTGACTTTGCTGGTTGCTGCACTGTTATCCTGTTATTCCTCCTTTGTGTTTCTATTGTGCAGCTTTGGGGCCAGGCTGTGATACAGCCTTGATTATAGGGGGCTGTGAGAACGAGAAACCACTGCACTCAAGTGGGAATCCCATAGGCAGCTTGGCTTCTTGTAAAGATCCTCCTGAGAATCTGTTCCTGCTTACTTCTGTACTGTGACAGCTCTGGGCAGAGTAAATGGGGCTTCTGTGTAACATTTCTAGCTCCAGCAGATAATGTAAGCACAGCTTGCTTTTTGGTTCTTCATACCACCTGTCTCTCCTCTGCAGCTCGGCACTCCGTGAGCAGCAGAAGCTGGGAGACTAAGCTGAAGTTAGATGAACGCCTCTGATGAATCCTCACATGTGTGTCCAACAATGGATTAGGGTGCAGATGTTTAGGTAGTTAATGCTAATACTGAGAGAGTTAGTAGGTCAATGCTGTATCCCTGGAAATCTGCTTACAGAACTGCTTATGTAAAAACTGCATAAAATCTGCACACCTCGCTAGAAAACTGTGAGTGCAACATCCTACACAAATTTATAAGTCTCAAAACTGTATTTTTCATTAGCAGTTAATGTGCTTATTGCAAGGATCTTTCTTAAAGAGCCAGCTGGAAGAAATGCAACACACATAATACACACATTAGACACCACCATGAGATTGTCTTGTTGAACACAAGAAAATACTGGAAACGTGGTGACAGAACTCAAGCTACAGATCACATTTTGCAGGAAAAGAAACAACTATGAATTTCCCTTTGGTGCTTTTTTAAAAAAGGAATCTTTCAGAAAAAACATTCTTAACTAATACAAATGATTCCCTGCAGAGCAACAAATTCAAAATAAATATCTAAGACAAAGTTGAAAGGGTATTTACTATGACTGCTTTTCAGTTCTTCTGCTTCCCCTTAAACATACCTTAATAACAAACATTTGTATAGTTTTTGTTGTTGTTGTCGTTGTTGCTTTTTGTGTGTGTCTTTTGTTTGGCTTCCTATCCTTATCTAAAACAAAAAATGCTTTTCTTGCAGAAAACTGAAGAAGTACAGTCATTATTACACTTTGTGCTATTAGGTTCCTGTGAAGTTACCTAATGTCATGTGGCTTTCTGATCAAGGGAAAACAAGCATAAAACACAATAAAGTGCAGATTAAATACATTAGAAATCATCTAGATGATCTCAGCACTCAATTTTCAAAAAGAAGGTAGACACAGGGAGTCATTATGTTGTTTCTCTTTGGACCCCATCAAGAGCAGGACTAGATTCAGTAGCGTTCAGCATTTTTATTAATGAACTATAAGAAAATGCATAATCATCGCTGTTAAGATTTGCAGATGACACCAGGCTTAGCAGGTAGCAGTTATTAATGAAAGCATACAGGCATGTGAAACAATCCATCATTTACTGACCCAGACACAGTAAAAGTTAATACTGTCAAATAAAAGCTCAGACACTGGAGAATAAGAAGGACAGAAGCAAGGACTATATGCTGGAAAGCTATAAACGTCAAGATTAACTATAGGTAATTGTATTGCACATAATTCTACATGGTGTCTCTATACAATTCTAGAGCAAAAAGTGGATATAAACAATGGTGTGAGTATGAAAGTGCTGAGAATTTAAATGAAGTTTGTGTGCAGTCTGTGCACTCTTGTTCTCCAATGGTGTAAAAAAAAAAAAAAAAAAAAAAGTTTGAAGACAGTAGAAAATGCCTTAAAGCAAATAATTTAGAGAGAATTCTTAGGATACCAAGTCGGAAGGGTGCATTGCAGCTTGATTATGGTGTTCAAATGCTTTCACAGACAGAAAATATTGGCTAGTGAGGGACCTTTTTAATCTAGTGAAGGAAAGCGTACCAAGAACCAACGGTTTAAAGTTAAATCTAGTCAAACTGAAATAAAAAATAATGCAAGTTTCTAACAGTGAGAGCGACCGAGTACTGAAATGAATGATCACAGAAGGGGCTAAGTTCTCATGTCTTTAAATCAAGCTTGACTGTCTCGGAAGAAGACTTCAGCAAAAAACCCCAAACCAACAAATGGTGCTTTTGTCAGTTTCAAGTTACTGGTTTTCACCCTGAAGTACAAGGAAAATTTATGACCTGATATTTAGATGGGATTATAAAGGATAATCTTTTGTCCTTTCCAGCCTTAACCTCCATGAATCCATCAATTTACCGAGGGAGTACAGAGAAAAAAAAAAAACTTGAGTGACTTTTGCCATCTGTAGAACAATGTGATTCACAGCAGATTGCAAATCACCCAGTAATAAGTATATGTCAGAAACTATCAAGATGAATATATCCTTGCATTGCCTTCTAATTTAAAAGTTCAGAGTTATTTAATATTTTACAGATTAATTTTATACTGGGTAATTGAATTAATGTGAAAGGGTTAAGCAGACAGGCTAATGAAACACTGTGCCATGTACTTAGCTTAATGCGGTTGGAAAAATCAATGCACTTTGGTCTGTCAGTTAGCAATCAGAGATTTAATTCAATAACATGTCAAGTATTTTAACTGTTTATCAATGTAAATAGAATCCAGCAGTATAGTAATGGTAATAGGCAAAGATGCTTTCCCTGAATTTAAATCAGATTTGAACATGTCCTTCATTTTAAGCCCCTAACACGCCAGATTCAGATCAAACTATCATTACATCTACAGAGCTTGGTGACTACTTCTGTGAATCAACTCTGTATTCACCACTGGTTCACTCCCTAAAACATAGGCAACGGGCAATCAGTTTGCTATAATTAGCAACTGTTATTTTGTTGTGCTTTTATGTTCACTTCCACTTTACTGTTGTTACTGGGAGGTGAACTAAATTACACACCAATCTTTTACTGAGCCTACATGGTAAGTGGTGAAGGCCACCTTGTGCATGAATACATAAAGGAGAAAGGGAATAAGGAAAAGCAGAAGCTTCTCCTCATCACATTCCAAGTACAGATGTATATTGCTCCTTACTCTTCTCCCTTTTACTATTCCTGGGCACTGGTTTCCCTGTAGAAGCAGCAAGAAAGGGAGATATGGCTCTGTCCAAGTTGAAGGAGCTTGTCACTACCAGAGCAGCACCTTGAATGGCGATGTTTTGATAATGCAATGTGTACCTTCCTGTTTTTTTCTCAGCTGCAACAAATGCATTTGTTTTCAATAAGATCCAGATCCATAGGTAATGCAGATGTTTCCACCTGACCTACCTGTTTATGCTCTCAGTCATACTGAAGACATAAATTAATTCTCTTTGTACCATTGTCATCATCCTAAAATAGATATCTAGAAACAATCAGATACACAGGGCTGTACAGGGATCTATTTCATCTGAGCAATTAAAAAGGTTCTCAGATGGTAATATTGACATTGCTGACATCAGAAGTTAGGAGAAATGAATCCTGTCTCCAAACTTTCTTTAGTAAGTTACAGATGGATACTACCTTAAGGGTAGAGGGTACTTTGTATCACTTTTAGTAGACAGACCATGTGTGCAACAAAAGATTATTAAACCTTGCTTAAAATTTTTAACCTTGCTTACAAAATCTTCTATCACTTCCTTGATAACACTTTATTCTATCACACTACCCTAACATACTGCCACCTCCTATGTAATAGAAATTCACTGTGCTGGATGCTTTATAAACTCACAATCATAGAATCATATCACAGAATCACAGAGTGGCCTGGGTTGAAAAGGACCACAATAATCATCTAGTTTTAACCTCCCTGCTCAATTGTATGTGCCTTTAAAGAACAGCGCTGACAAAAGGCCATTTGGAGAGAAGCAGCTATGCACGCCTATGTTTAATGTAGAAAGGTGATACCTTTACACACACACCTCTTCTTTTCATCTAGAAAATTATGCATATCTCACTGATACAATTCCAACCTTTGCTGCATTGTTTTGGACACTCAAGCAATCCTATGTCTAAAAGAAAATTAAAAAAGAAAAAACACCAAACCCTTTTTGTAATAAAATCCTGTTAATATCTAAACACATATTATCCACATTTTTACCTTTGGATATTTTTACATCTAATTTCATGAAGCCTGATGCAGATCTGCCGATGACTTCAAGAACAGTTATTAGAAGAAGCCCATTCAATGTCAGCAGATGCCGTACGCAGGTCTCTAGATAAAAATGTACAGAAGATTGGCTGCTGGTTCTACCTGTATGTAAATCAGTAACTACATATACTACATTGTACTATTCCTTCAGCACAGAATCATAGAATCATAGAGTGGCCTGGGTTGAAAAGGACCACAATGCTCATCTCGTTCCAACCCCCTGCTATGTGCAGGGTTGCCAACCAGCAGACCAGGCTGCCCAGAGCCACATCCAGCCTGGCCTTGAATGCCTCCAAGGATGGGGCATCCACAACCTCCTGTGCAACCTGTTCCAGTGCGTCACCACCCTCTGGGTGAAAACCTTCCTCCCTATA